AATGTGTATTTAAAGTAACAACTAATATGATCATGGCACATTTTAAAAGGCAGGTCAACAATGTGTATTTAAAGTAACAACTAATACGATCATGGCACATTTTAAAAGGCAGGTCAACAATGTGTATTTAAAGTAACAACTAATATGATTATGGCACATTTTAAAGGGTAGGTTAACAATGTGTATTTACAGTAACAACTAATACGATCATGGCACATCTTAAAGGGTAGGTTAACAATGTGTATTTACAGTAACAACAGTAACTTTCATCACTTCAGGTCTTGCTGAAAAAATATGATCTTTAGATAATAACAAGATATCTTCTGAGCTGTGAAAGCTAGACTAACATTAAAAAAGTTGGTACTTTTGTTATTAGTGAACTACACACGTTGCTACTTGAAACCTGTAAATTATTTTAAGTTGATATTCCAGCACAGTTAGTTCTAGTAAGATAATCCAAATTAAGTTAAGACTCGATGGTTTTTAAGTTTAACAGAAAATAACAACAGCTTCCATATTGATTTTCTATCCCAACAGCATATAGGGGATCCCTTAGCTTGCTTTCTATGATGAACATTAAAATTCTTCTGACTTTACAGCATATTATGTGGGGGGATTCTTACCCCATTGCATTTCTAGAGCCTTGTAGAAAAAATCATTAAGTCAATCATCATTTGATAACAGCTTTTAAAACGATAATAGAAATAAAAAAACAGCAACCTGTGATATACAATTAATTAAAATTGGGAGAAAACAAATGGAATAATAAGTAAACTGTACCTTGGGTATTTTGGAAATAATGACGCCACAAAGGCCTAATTTTATCTTGACCACCAACATCCCACACCGTGAAACTAATATTCTTGTATTCAACTGTTTCAACATTAAATCCTAGAAGAGAGACAAACAAAAACACGTCAGTGAAATTCTAGTTTCCACATACACAATCTGAAGCATTATTTATGACATCATGTATACAATAAATAGAGTTTCAGTTTGCTAAAACCAAATATGAAAGTTTATATACTATCCATAGATCTCAACACAATATATCTACTGTAACATACATCAGAAAATATTATATACATTTTAACTGCATTGCATGTAAAACTGGGCAACTAGGAAAATTTGATAGCTGGTTAATCACCAGGTTCATTAATTCAGTTATTCTCACGAGATGTGAATAGTTGGAAAAACTGAAAATAGTAGCGATCCTAATGTTGATTATTTTTCTGAGTTGTGACACTAAATCTGGACAGCCCCGAGTTAATTGAAAATAAAACTGAGAAATAATGGTAGTACCTCGTTCGATTAGTTGGACAGTTGGTACATTCATAAGCACTAATTTTAATTAGCTGATTACTTTTGTGACATTAATCAATGTAATCGATTAGTTGCTCGCGTCTAACCATAATGTTTATTATGAAAAACTAGGAAAGCAAAGTCGCTTTTAGGTAGCAAGTGTTAAAAACATTACTTTTACAGTTGTGTACACACATTGACAACTATCAAAACTATACAAACATGTAATAGATTCATACAAACATTTCAGCTTTAAGAAACTGGTTTGAAATTTCACCAAGTAAACAATTTCTCTGTTACTTTGACGCGTGATGTTTCAGAAGAACGTTTTCCTATATTAATATTGAAATCTAAATAAATAACTCGGCTCTAACCGTTAATTTCTAAGTGAAATTCACTGCTTAAGTAGTATTTGTAATTTTTTGTGATAACTTACATATGTACTTACAAAATTCAAAATATCTTATTAAAGGCAATTCAACTAAACATTACTTACAAAATACCTTACTAAAGGCAACACAACTAAACATAACTTACAAAATATCTTACTTATGGCAACACAACTAAACATTACTTACAAAATATCTTACTTATGGCAACACAACTAAACATTACTTACAAAATATCTTACTTATGGCAACACAACTAAACATTACTTACAATGTGTTGCCATAAGTAAACATTACTTACAAAATATCTTACTTATGGCAACACAACTAAACATTACTTACAAAATATCTTACTTATGGCAACACAACTAAACATTACTTACAAAGTATCTTACTTA